AAAAATAAATAAACATTAAAAAAAAAATTTTTTTTTAACAATTAACTCTTTCTGCTCCCCTCTACTCTCTCTCCCTCATCTACCGCTTGGCTTCTTTAAGGTGTTCCATGACAGTTACATCATTGAGTTCTGCTCGATTGAGTTCTGCTGTAAAGCTGGGTGCCTGGGTGGCTCTGTCGGTTAAGTGTCCAATGTCACTCAGGTCATGATCTCATGGTTCATGAGTTTGAGGCCTGTGCCAAGCTCTGCACTGGCGATGAGGAGCCTGCTTGGGATTCTCTCTCTCTTGCTCTCTCTCTCTGCCCCTTCCCCACTTGCACTCTCTCTATATCTCAAAATAAATAAACTTTTAAAAAAATGTAAATCTAGTAAATAACATTTACACTATTATTGTAATTGTCATACTAAACAAACAGGATTCATGAAATGTAATAATCAGAGTGCAACTTTATTTTTGTCTCCCTCTGTCTCTTTAAACCTGCTCATTGGGTGAATTCTTTTCTCTGTCCCTATTTAAAAATACGGACATGCCCCAGGACTTTGTTGGGTAGTCTTAGGCAATAGAAAGCCCTGCGACCACTTTATTTAGCAAACACAGTCTTAATTCAGTAATTAATGTGTACAGTTCCATGTAAAATCAAAACTTGGAACACATGAAGCTTACATCTCCTCCTGTTTTCCATCGGTTGCCTTCAATAGGCAGGAAACTAGGGACAGTCAGGCTGGTCCTTCTCTTTCTCTCTTAGGCTTTCAATCCTCCCTTCCCGTCTTGCTAACCATGATTCCTGACCTCTTCAGATTGAAAGGGAGAAGAGAGAGGATGGAAAGGGGACTTAACTCTTCCTCCTTGCCCAGCAGCCTAACAGGAAGACTGCATTTTCTGGGCCTGGCAGGTCTTCCTGAGCACTGCCATGGTTCCTCACAGCCTTCCCCTGGGATGCCACAGGCATCGCTTTCTCTCACTGCCACTTCCCCCTTCAGATCCTGGCTTTTTCAGCAGGTCACTCCAAATAACACCCTGTTTCAGAGGTCTCATCATCCTTCCTGGTGATTCTAAATACCTCCGGATTTTGAACACCTCCAGGCTGGCTCTCTTTCACTTGGGGGCCAAAACTGACTAGAGGACCTTTCACTCTTCCCTCATGTAAACAAACTATGAGAGTGTGGTCTGATCCCAATTTAATGGCACCCTCTTTGCTCTCAATCAGAGAAGCTGGCCCTTTGGTCTGTGAGCTAGATTGTCCAGGGTAGAGTCAGGTGAGCCATGGGACTGGCTCTTGGCCACCTCCTTTGAAACTTCTGCAGAGTGTCTGTCTTATGACCTTGATACCTCATGTCTGCCATATCTTGGTGCTGCCAATAAGATTTCTAGTCTAAAATCCTGATACATTAATGATTTTCTAAATGTTCACTTAGAACTAAGACAAAAGCATGGAACTATGGAGAAAGAGAAATAATTCTGTTTTAAGACACTTGAGGGGCGCCTGGGTGGCTCAGTCGGTTGGGCGGCCGACTTCGGCTCAGGTCATGATCTCACGGTCCGTGAGTTCGAGCCCCGTGTAGGGCTCTTGGCTGACAGCTCAGAGCCTGGAGCCTGTTTCAGACTCTGTGTCTCCCTCTCTCTGCCCCTTCCCCGTTCATGTTCTGTCTCTTTCTGTCTCAAAAATAAATAAACATAAAAAAAAAATTTTTTTTAAAGACACTTGAGCCTCTTGTGGGAGAATGTTCCAAGCATCAAGCTCAAATCAATTCCCTTCTGTCATATTTCATTTCATCTGTAGTCCACATGTATGCCACATCTTAATTTGTTTCATACTTAGACTGTGACTTTCTTTGTACAACATTTGGTTTTCTAGGAACTTCTAATTAACTTCCTTTGTCATCGTTGAAAGATGAATAACAGGCCTTTACTTTCTCTAAGGTCTAACAACTTCTAAATTATACTATTTGTTATAAATTGTTACAAATCATGCTTTTTGTCAATGCACTTTGTTATTGAAGACATTTTTCTGAGGACCTCTTGAATGACTGTTGTGTTAGGAATCACTGCATCTCTGACTCTCTCTCGTCTATCTCTATAAAATGCCATCCCGTTTCCCTCTTTTAGAAACCAAAGTCTGCTATCTCCTCGTCTTTCTTCAGTGCTGTTATGTATTTAACCCATTTTTTATTTCTTTATGCATTTCAGCGGGATTTTTTTTTAAATGTTTATTTATTTATTTATTTGAGAGAGAGAGAGTGTGTGTGCACGCGCGAGCAGGGGAGGGGCAGAGAGCAAGGGAGAGAGAGAATCCCAAGAAGGCTCCACACTGTCAGTGCAGAGCCCAATGCAGGGCTCGATCTCACAAACCATGAGATCATGACCTGAGCCGAAATCCAGAGTTGGCCACTTAACTGACTGAGCCACCCAGGCGCCCCTTCAGTGGGATTTAGAACACTCTTCGTTTTTTACCTGAAACAACATCCCTAACGTAAATTTATTTAGATTGTAAAAGCAGGCAAGAAATCACTTAGCCAAACATTTCTTCTGGGAGATATGGATGCTTATCAGAGAAAATTGATTTTATAGGTATCATACTTAGAACAAAGTAATACAAATATAATTAAAAGATGAGGAGAGCAAACTTTGGCGATGATTAAAATAGTTCAAATAAGTGAGATATGGCTTTAATTATTATCTAGGGATCCTTAAAATTCATTACCAGGTAAAGAGAAAACATTTTTCTGTAGAACAAAGCCAGACATTCCTTGTACCTTGAATTCCCAAACATACTGATGTTCACAACAATTTGTGATTACACCAAAACCCATAGACATCCCAGATTTCTGACATTTTCATCATCCAAAAAATGTCAATATATTCATTGCTTCGTAAATAAAGTGGAAAAAACTGTATAAATATATTTACTACAAAGGTCTGTGACCAGGAACCTTTGTACGCTTCTTTCTTTGTCTAAAAACAAGAACAAATATTAACAAAATAATTTGTATTCGGTTTCTGGCTACTTTTGAAGACTTACACTGTGTTTTTACATTAAAAACCAGCTTCGGGGCGCCTGGGTGGCTCAGCCAATTAAGCGGCCAACTCTTAATTTCAGCTCAGGTCATGACCTCACACTTCATGGGTTGGAGCCCTGCGTCAGGCTCTGCACTGACCATGTGAAGCCTGCTTATAACTCTCTCCCTCTCTCTCCCTGCCCCTCTCCTGCTTGTGCTCTCTCTCTCTCTCTCTCTCTCTCTCTCACACACACACACACACACACACAAAATAAATAACCATTTTTTTAAAACCCCATCTTCATATATTTGTCATTATATAAAAATATTGAGTAGAGCTAGAAGGACCCTGCTAGAAATTTCAGAATACATGTAGTTCACCAAAACATGTAAAATTTAAACACATATTCTTTTTCTGAGAGGTGGTGTGAAACCCAGTGATTGTTTTTGATAGAAATGTGAGAAAAGCATTGATGGACATAATTTTTCAGTCTGTGTGCTGAAACTGAAGTTCTGCCTGATCATCTACCAAACCTATGTGTATTTGGCAAATACATACATGCATACGTACTAATTTATTTTATATTCAC